TGTAACTATACTATTTTTCATTTTCAGCATTTTTGCCATATTTTAAATCTCAAATATTGTCCAGTTTATGTACCAAGAAAACCATTTTTAATAACCTCTGTTCTCAGAGAACTAAATTATTGAAATTTTAACATAATTTTAAAGCTAAATTTGCAAGTGCCAATAACCAAGAGAAAACTTAACATGACTTCTTCAAATATGAATGTTTTCTTTTTTGCAATTTTGGGGTATATTTTAAATTTACAGTAAAAAAAAAAAAATCTTTTGACCCACAGGAGAGCTCTAGACCTTCCTGGAAGAGATATTGTCCCTCCTTTCTTGAGGTTAAATGACCATCACAATCTATTAAAGAGAATGGCTCTGATTACTATATCTTATCTCGCAGAGAAAAGTAAATCAATGAGTATCATCTACAAAAAACACATTGCCATGTTGAGTTTCTGACCTGCAACCAGCCAGGAGAACCTGTTTGTACATTTCTACTGAAGACTTCCCGCCAAACTGCCGGCCCGTAAGATAGGTGTTATGAGAAGAGCTGATGAAGTAGTGAGCCAGAGGATGGTCCATTTCTTGGTAAAGTTCTAAACGATCTAGGAAGACTGGGGCATTTTCATCTGACATCAGATATCTGCAAAACCCATCACTTGATATGAGGCCTAGGGGAAAAAGAACATCTTAGTAGCACTTGCAGCTCTGAAGATGCACATCTCGTTTTATTCATGGAAGCTGAGGCAGTTTACACGGTAAGAGTAAAAACTTCACAGTCTCTTTCCCAAGAACTTTCATCTTTCAGAACTTGAATGAAATAATACAGTTGCACATTGTAAGTAGCACAATGCACTCCAAAAACAGGTGCATTCTGCTTTTGTACCCTTCATGGTAGAAGTACATAGCTCCCTAAGTTCAGAAACATGGCACCAGAAGCTAAGGTGACCAGGGTCAAGGGGACCGTTATCTAGTTCTGCTTCTGCCACTCACTCCTTACGCTCCTGAGTCAAGTGGGAAAAAGTACAGGCCCTGCCTGCTTTCCAGGATTGTCATGAATGGTAAATAAGAATACATACGACAGGTGCTCTTTAAAAAATGGAAAATGTATTAATTGTAAGGCATTATTGCTGTCACTGGATTAAAGAAGGGTTTTCTCTCAGAGATGATGGCATCTCTGACTTTAAACAATTGAATTTTCCTATTTTATCTAAAAGTCAGAGTATGGGAGTGGTGAGAAGAGTATATATATATATATATATATATAGTGGTCACTGAAGTGTGACCCCAAGAGCCACCGTTCATTTCAATCACACCTTTCTCATTCGGGGTAACTGCAGGAGAGGCCAAATACTTACACATCTTCTGTTCTATCAACCATTGACAATCTCTTCTTTTTGCTTTTTTATTTAAGCATTTACAAATTCTGAACTGATTTCAAGCTTACAGAAAAGTAAGATGATAGCATAATAAATAGTGGGCCTACACCCCAACTTTGTCAGATCTTAACATTTTGCCTTATTTGCGTTACATTTTTTAAAGGAATACATAATCACAGATGCCACTAAAGCACCCTTTGTACCCCACCTCAATTCCATTCCATTCCATCTTTCAACTGCCACATAGACCACCACTACCCTAGCTTTTGTGTTTAACAGGCCCATAATGGTTTGGCAACTTCAGTGCATATGCATTTATCCAAATAATATATGGTTTAAATGTTTTCAAATTTGTAGAAAAGCTATCCAACTGAGTGCATTTGCAAATTGCTATTTTTACTCTGTATTTTCTTGGAACATATAGAGTTGATATATATAGCTGTTCTTCATTTATTTCTTACTGGATGTATAGTAGTCCATATATGAATATGTCATAATTTATCCATTATTCTGTTGATGAATATTTAGGTCATTTCTACTACAATAAAAATTTGTGTACTTCTGTCCTTGGGTACATTCATTCATTCTAGGAGCAAGTATTTCTTGAGGCACTAGGATAGGCATAGTGTTAGAAGAAATAGACAAGCCCTGCTTTCATGAAACTCGTATATTATCAGCTAGAGAAACAAATAAACAAATAAACAGATAAATATAATATTATGAAAGTGCTAGAAGGACAAAGAAAGCAGGAAGGAAGGTAATAAAGAGTGACCAAGATGCTGTGTTAGACATGTGGCTAGTAAAAACCCTTCTGAGGAGGTCACATACCTGCATGGGAAGCAAGCCACATGTACACCGGGGGACCCCACTCCAGGCAGAAGGTTCAGCAAGTGCAAAGACCTTGATGCAGGAGTGTGTGTGCCAAGTACATTCAATGACAACGAGACAGAGTGAGTGACCAAGGAGAAAAATAGCTGGAAACAAGGTTGCAGAGGTAATCAAAGGCTACAACAGTTGGTCTTTAGTCCTCACTAAGTTCTTTGGATTTTATTCTGTGTTGGAAAGCCTTTGGAGGGTTTTGAAGAGTGGAATAAGATGACTGGATTTGGTTTTGTGCATAAATTGTAGGGCACTGAGTAGAAAGAAGACGACCTGTGAGAAGTCAACTGGCATTGTCCAGGGAGAGATAATGTAGTTTTGGAAAGTCTGGTAAGGGTGGAGATAGTGATAAGTCATTTTGGGGGATTTATTTTGATCTTGTAGATTTTGCTGATGGATCAGATGTAATGTGAAAGAATGAGACAAGTCCAGAATGATTCTAAGGATTTTGACTTGAAAAGGTAGGTGAATAATGGTACCATTTTATAGGATGGGAAAGGGACAAGTCTGGAGGTGGGAAGAATCTAAACATGTACATGAATACTAGAAATGCCCATTCGACATCCAAATTGAGAGTTCTACTACAGGTCTGTAATTTAAGTTGGAGGTTAAGAATGGAGATATTAATACAAAAGTCATATGCATATAGAGGAAACCCATTGGCCTAGATGAGCTCACCTAAGGAGTGAATACACACGGAGCAGAGGTCTGAAGACTGAGCTCTGTGCCACTCTGACATCCAGAGTTTAGGAAATGTATGAGAGATTCTCTCATGCACACCTAGAAGTGGAAATGCCTGGCTGTGTGAGAGGCACATTTTCCCCTTTACAAACTACTGCCAGCCAAGGTGGCTGCACCAATTTACACTCCCACCAGAAGTTTATAAGAATGCCTTCTGCACTGCCTTCTCACCCATACTTGACAATGACAGATTTTTAAATTTTTGTCATTTGTGAAGTGGTGAAGCTACACGTTTTAGATGTGTCAATGGTAATTTCATAGACTTTTGGGTCTTAGAAGGACTTTAGAAATAACCAAGGACACACCCCCATACAATGTTTATCACACTGCCAAGGAATTGCTGAGTCACTTGTCTTTCTCCTTAAACAGATCACAATTGCCTGCAAGGCAGGGGGCATTTCTTATTCAGTTTTGAATTTCCAGCATCTGTCACAGTGTTAGCACCCCTAAAGCCCTCTATAAAAGTTAAGGAACAAAGGGAGGAAAGAGAAATACTGCACCTCCCTTTGCTTTAATCACATGCAATGTGAAATAAATTACAATATCCAGAATATTGATAGAGAGGTAAGCAATGAAGCATTCTTGCTGAAATTAGGTGTCTGAGGCCCTAGCAAAAAGTGTCAATATATGACTACAACCAAGTTAGAAAACTCTGTTGGGCTTGGAAAAATATCAGTGGTGATGGTTGTGGGGTATAGAGGGTCAGGCATACCTATAAACAGATTCTATGTGGATCCAGAGACTGTAGAAACCTTTCAGCCAGTTTTTTCACAAAGAGAAGAGAATCCCCATTCTAAAGAAGAGGAAACTGAGGCCATGAGATTCGTGGGCACATGGGACAGATAGAACTTGAATCTGGATCTTCTTTCATTCTCCACTGAGACATAAGGACAGAGGCTTATGTACCCCCAGCACTCCCCATGCAGTTTATGGCAGCAACATCCCTCCCACCGTCTGCAGGTGCTTCCCACTGCTACAGGACTGACGGATCTTAAAATCCCTCTCCATGCCTTTCCTCTGACAAACACTTGAATGGACAATGCATTATTTCCAAAGTTTCAATGAAAAGGGCAAAGGTCCAGAAATGCCAACAATTTGCTAAAGTGATGCATGACTATTTAATTTCATATCAATTGTATTTATCTTCCATACCAGAGGTCAAATAAGGAGTAAAAGGGTGCACCAAATCATATGTTAAATTTATTTGGCTCGGCAAAACAAAAGGGAGAAAAAGAAGGTATGCATTTTTATGTGACAAAAATTCTTTTCAAAGACTGTAAAAATTGGCATTTTTACATTTTAAGCAATATGCATTACTATAATATAAGAAAATACCTGGGGAAAATATCACTATACTGTGTTTAATAACAATAAATTTAACAGTATACTTCAGGCAGCATGGACTAATTCTACTGCATGGTGAAATTTATACTAACTTAAGAGCAGGGAATAAAAATCAGTCATCAATCCCTGGCTCTTAGGGAGCTCCAAAGCATTTACAGACACCTTTAACTAAAAATACAAGGGATTTAAAAGTTGCATATTTTCTAGTTTTAAAGAAAAAAAATTCTTTTTTTTTTTTCATTTTTATTACCTTTCTTCTTCAAGTCTTCATCAGGTTCATACATCTCAATGATCTGCATTGCCCTTTTAGCATCATAAAATGGAAATAAAATTTCATTCAGTCGAGGATCTCGTTGATGCTATGATGAGAAAATAACTCCATTTAGGTTGACATTTCTTGCTCTTGAGGCATCAAACATGACTAAGGATACAATTTCTAAAACAAGATATATCTAGACTATCATGTTTATAATTACAAAGATAGGATTTCACTGCCTTCCTGTCCTCTCTAAAATATACTTCAAAAAAGTCCAAACTTGGGAGTGTTTTGTTGGTTCCTCTCACTGAACTAGAGAGAGAGAGAAATACATTTTTCTCTTTCAAAAGTTGAAGGATACGTAATAGAGTGTGCATGTCACTTGCATTGTCTTCTAGTTCCCATGTCACAGGTAAGACATTTGGCATACATGTCTATAAAAACTGAGGTCAAAATATTTTTTTAAAAAAGAAAAAACCAATCCCCCCAAATAGTTCAAATAAGTAAGTAAATAATATACTAATTTAAGTGACCCCTAAAATCCCAAAAAACAATAATTACAAAATCTCTTTAGAAAACATCATTTCATCTTCATTAATATCTTTCTACATCAATGAAAGATTTCTTGGGCACTCTGCAAACTTCATTTTCTTGAGTAAGTATTTTTCAAAATGAACGTATTATAAAGATGAAAATTAGTCAGCACAAGGATATTTACAAGCTATAAACAATATAAAGTCTGTATTTGAATACTGGTAGTTCAGAAACATATTTTTCACTATGAATTGTAACTCAGTTTGCTCTGAGAAAACTCTCTGGGCAGATAGTATGTGAATGATTAGGCACTCAGAAGGTTGGTGACATCATGCTTTTCAAATCGGCACCTAAGGTGCCCCTAGTACTAATGCTGCTCCTGCAGCGATGTCATTCTGACTTCACAGCAATGGTGAAGAGTCCAATTTACTAACTGATTCAGCTTCAGTCTTGTGTGTGCGTGTGTATGTTTGTATGTGTGTGTCTAGTGTATCTGGAGGTAGTGGGTCCATTCAAATGCTGTTCACTGTGTATTAGAGGACTGCACTGTGTCTCTGGTCATTCCTCAAATAAATAAATAAATAAATAAATAAATAAATAAATAAAGCAAACTTCAGTGGAATAATGACTGATAAGCAGATGTGAGCAAAACCTGGTCAATAAACAGGACCTTGGCAAAAACTCTTTACCCAAATATATGCACAGACTTGGAAAAACATTATTGGAAAGGTATTTAAGAAGCCATTGTTAAAAGTTCATATGGATTTCCCTTCCCCATTTGTTTTGGAATGAGCATTTGAAAAGTGGGCTATACACAGAACAAATGCCTTTGGCCAAAAGAACACTGAATGTAATTTCCTAAGCATATGTGACTTAGCCTTTTCTCGTTCCCCCCTGCTCCCCCACCGAGTTAAGAGTGTTAACTCATAAGAAATCAATAGCTTTTTGTCAATTTATCCCAATGAAGCATGCTTCTGTTGTAATCTAAGAAATTACGGCTCACAACAGCTCACATCCATGCATATGCTCAAGGGGAAACTGCTGTATTAATAACAGGTCTTGAGTCCATACAGAACAAAAAGTATGGGATATGCAGAGAAATTGAAACTGTGAGGTGGACCACGGAATGCCAGGCAAGTGAAGGCATGCTACACCTTTTTCTGGAAACGGATGCCAACATGCAATAGAACCCACTATGCCAGGGAACAAGGATCTCCAACCCCAGTGAAAACGCACTGTTTTAAAAACAAACTCTTTCTAGGCACATTCCTTCTTCTGTCTGCATAAATAACATCATGGAAGAAGATGGATATGGGATGAAAAGGGTCCTTTTCAGACCCCAGCACAGTTAATGTTCATAGTTGGCCACTATGTTTCTCTTCCTTATTAGAATTAAGTCTTTTGATTTAAAGATATGCTCATTGGTAAGTATTCTGAACTCATGAAGGTGATGAGGCAAATCCATATGAATTAAACAGTGAGAAGAAGAAGGGATTCAGCTAAAGGGGAAAGAAGAGATAAAGTTAGAGAAAGGAGGAAAGGGAATCCAGACATTTTTATGTGTTTTGTTTACATTCACATAAGTGTATATTCTAACATGGTGCTTCTTGAAGTGTGGTCTGTGGATGGCAGCATCCCCAACACTTGGGAGCTTGTGAGAAATGCAGATTATTGGGCTCTTCCCTAGACTTACTGACTCTGATTCTCTGGGATGAAACCAATGAATCTGTGTTTTAAGATGACTTCCAGGTGATTCTGATGTGCTCAAGTTTAAGAAGCACAGCACTGACCCATAATGGTATGCATTTTAACATATTTGCATATTGATTTTAAAAAGTACTTAAGTCCTACCAGGAGAGAAGAATGCTAATCATTTGTTCTCCCAATTCAACCTCATTAAAATGTAGTTAGAGGTTGTGGCATTCATTAGACCATCCTGCCTATAAGAAGCAATTAGCCAGGAAAACCAAATCCTAAAATGGATGTATCCTAATCCTCCATTCCGAAAATTACGTTCTCAGCAAATAAGCATTAAGCACAGACAACATAAAATTACATCTGTCTTTGTATCTGCTCCACTAGATAATACAATCTTTGCTTTCTCAAAAATTTTCACGTTTAGCATGGTGCAATCTGGATAATAAAAAGACAAGGAAACCAATAGTGAGGTGTGCATGAGAGTCACAAAACTAATTTTTACATGAAAAAACAATGAGGAGAAAGATTACGTCCAGCTAATCTCAGAGGAATATGGTTGCAGAAGAGTTCCACCTAGACACAAGCACAGGGAGGCAAATGCTCCACAGCTCTGAGGGACTGGCAGTTTTCAGCCAGGATTTGGGGAAACAATGTACCAAGGATTTCCCTCCATGGTACCCAGTGCTTTGTAAAATAAGATTCTAAATAGCTTCCAAAAAAACAGGTCACAGAACTGTGCGAAGTAAATGAGGAGAACACGGGCAGGACCCCAAGGTGATGTCCTTACTCTTACTGAGAAAAGGCATCAACTGGCATCAATAAAAGTAGCACTGGGAAATATGGATGTTGACATAATTAATATTAAAAGAGATACACAAAAGGGAAAGGCATAAACGGCAAGGGTAAGCCTACTTGTAAGACTAAATTCCTCCTTCTCTCTCTTTTCCTATGAACTAAAGAATAAGGATATTGTAAAAGGAAAAAGGAAAAAAGGAAAGAGATTGTGGGCCCTTTCTTAGATACTTTCAACTGCAAAAATTAAAAAAAATATTTTTAAATCAGATTTAGCCTTACTGGGATCAGGGATCATATTATATGTGTGAGGCAGGAGAAAGATAACCAGCAGCAATAAAACTCATCTTTGGTAACTATGGCCAGCTGAGACCTTTTCCCTCCTTTCCTATTTTAATCTTCCTCTCTTTCCCTCCACACGTCTCCCATTTCTGCAGGTCCTTAGTTGTTATCATCTTTGTAAGAAGTCAAACAGAGAATGAAGGTACACCTAAAATCACTTTAGCTTCTCATTAGGAAGAGGGAAAGAGAGGTGAAGCTAGCCGAAGCCCAGAGATTTTAATTAGTCCTGCCACATAGGAGCAACTGAGTTGGAAGCACTATGTAACCATGTGGCAACTCAAAGTGAGTGCCTCTGCTAGCTCTCCTATGGTCTAATTTGCTATTTCTATAATTTAGGCAAAGGTTTCCCCTTCCCATCAGATGACAGCAAGAGACATGGCTCTGGCAAAATTTTAGATCTGAGTGGCTGATATCTATGACTAAATTCTTTTTTTTTTTTTCCTTTTTTTCGTGACCGGCAACGGGATCACAACCCTCGGTGTCGCGCCTGCACCTCCCTCAGCCAGCGAACGGCCGGTCTGTACGTGGGATCCGAACCCTTGGCGGGAGCACCGCAGCACTCCCAAGCGGCGCACTGTAGCAGTGCGCCACCGGGCCGGCCCTATGACTAAATTCTTGACCGAGAATAACAGAATGTATATCCTGCTCTCATGTTCTTCCCACTCACATTAAGCATCCCAAGGAGGAATCCAGTAATCCACTAGGACAATGCTTCACAAACTTCAGTGTGCAGACAAATCACCTGGAGATCTTGTTAAAGGCAGATTTCAAGTCAGCAGGTCCCGGAGGACCTGAATTTCTGCATTTCTAACAAGCTCCCAGGGGATGCTGATACTCCTGGTCAACGGATCACACTTTGGGGACGGAGGACTAAGGAGAGAAGAGAAGCAGAGAGAAGGCAGGTCTCAAACTATTACTGTAAAGCTAGTAAGTGTTGATGGCATGGATGGGGGGGGTGGTATATGGTGACCAAGGCAATAAATGGCTAATAGTCTCTCCTCTCCTCCCAAGCCTCCTGGAGATACACATTAGGACACCG